GTTGGGTGGTTTTGGGTGGTGTTTGTGTGTTATAGATGTATGTTAGGTGGTATTTACATACAAACACCATATAAGTGTTGTTTGATAAAAGAATCACCCTGTATTATACTTAAATAAGTAAAACATTATTACTGAAAYTTTATATAATTATAGCTCAGCGGAATCGATATATACCTTTTTTGAAAACAGGATGTTTAGATGTGGAATCAATAAATCCTCGTCGGATGTATTTCTGTAATGAAAACTTAGAAGAAAAATTGTGCTTGTAAAGAAAAGGGTTTAACGTGGTCAAGCTACTATATCGTTTGATCGAAGGTATTGGATAGAAAACTAATCATGCGGAAACATGCGTGTGCACTATCTACCTATATAATATAGAATGCTAAGCTGTAATACCGTGACTCTTAATGCGGTTGAAAATTAAGAACATCAACATCTTCGAACTTGAAAAAAAAAATCAAATTAAAAATTTTGGTAACAATTTGTCGTAATAATTACACTAATTATTAGGTAGGTAGTAGGTAACTATTTTAAAATATTTGTAGCTGCAGAAAACTATTTTTTAATGCATCAGCTGTTAAGTAAATTTTTTCAAATAATAAATCAAATTATCGATGGTAAACCGTGATTATTTKATGTAATTTAAATTCTTTAAATCTACACTTGGTATTGCATTGCTCGTAGTTTGCCAATAGACRTATAAAACGTATAAACTAATATAATAATAAAGTACCTATTTGTGGCCAAAATTAATCAATAAAAAGTATTACAATAATTTATTTTACAGATTGTTTAATATTGATAATAATTTATCGTATTAGCAAAATACTTAGGTTCTTTGGTATTAAGTTATACTAGCAGTCAGCAAGACTTTGAATTCTTAGATGAATGAAAACAATATTGTTGATATTTAATTTAAATTAAAAACATTTTTTCATAGTATTCAAAACATACATTTAGGTACCTACTCGTATATAGTTACTATAAGAATTTTACATTATAAATTACTGTCTTATATTGGACGAGGTGTGCGCGAGACGTGCTAGGTATTATATTGCAAATTGACTGACAATATTATAATTTCCCTAGTAACCACTAACCAYGTACATGGTCAAACCTAGTCCCCACGTCTTCAACAACGTTTAATCACATAATTTAGACGAGGCTGCAGGCATGGGAAGTACGAGCTATTTCGCCTCAAATCGACTGACAAGATTATACTTTTCCATGCCAAACATTATTATGTGGATGGCGCCCGAAACGGAAATCAAAGCGCCGACCGACACCACGATTGTCCAAACAACGGAATCGAAAGTTTTTCGGACCAAACTTGGTAGTTTTATTGGACTTTCAACAGGATATGGATGCTGAAATAACGTACCCGGTGATAACCGCAAAAACGGCATAACATATATAGATGCCGATCAATTTGGATCCGTACTAAGAAGTTCTTTAGGCATATTATGTCGTACTGTGCGTAGTTCTGAGCTAATAATCGCTGCAGTGAATGCTATTAAAATATAGTTAATATATGTACAATCTACAACAACCATTTTTGAAATTGTTTTAATGCTCTGTCGTTTATGTAAAAATGTTTGGGAATGTTTTACAAAGCTATTCAGAGTGTGATAACATTTTTATATTATTAATAATTTGAATCAAGCGTGCATCGTACATACTTACTTACACATTATTTATATTTAAAAGATAAGTATTAATATTTGATATGCAATTTTAATTACATATTGCATAATATATCATTATATTATGTATAATAATTACTTTTGATGTATATTCTTATAT